TTTAATCACCCGCTTAATAAATTGTATCCTCGTAACGATGATGAAAGAAAATCCTTCCGTCATTTCGAGCACGAAAGCGCACCCCCGGCCTCTCCTCTCGCCCCCCTGCCGCCCGTTCTTTATTTCGATAATTAAATCTCTCTTCTGCATTGTCTACGATCAAAGCTCCCGGCCTGTTTCGCCTGTTGGAGGAATAATAAAACCGGAGCACACTTTTAATTTATATAATGTACAAAAAGCGAAAATTGATTCTGTTGATAAAACGGCGCCCACCGGCGAATTATCGTGTCGGAAATATCGCGAGCGTTACGTATGCGTTAATACCTGACGATATCTTTAACCGAGGATTTCTCTTCACCGAATTACGCAGGTATATCTAGATACGGAAATAACTTTGAGCTAATCCACATCTACATCGGAAACCGGGTGAGGTTCGAAAAGGATGTCAACGTGGATACAAATTAAGTTAGACTTTCCGGGGGCGCGCGTTTCGAGCTTGAGATATCAGATAAAATTACGCGATAATAAATTACATCGCGTTTGACGCGGGGGGTGAAATTTATCGCTCGCATTATCATATACATCACGCGAAACATTGCTCCAGGTTTTCCCACGTGCATGTTTATCCAAATAATCGCGTCGCGTCGCGTCGCCCTACGTCGCTTATCCCCCGAAAGCTACCGCAATCTGGATCAAAACCCGTTGCGGATACGTGTGCAGGCCGGTGCTCGAGGAGCAATCCTTCTTGCCAAACTGACGGGCGAACGTACGAGATTTCCTCGCCCAGCCGTTCCTCTATCCCGATCGTGTTCAACATCCATCTCCTTTTTTTCCACCCCCTCGCCGGCAGCGGCAACGAAAGCACGGTCCAGCCGGGATCCGGGGGGAGAGGAAAAAAACGGGTTCATTGCGACCGGTGGCTCGTATCCACGATTTATCCAGTCGCGGATTGCCTCCGCGGAAATCGGGGCCGATCTAATTTCGCGCGCGCGACCCCGACGAGGAAGCTCTATCTCCAGTTGATGGCTCGATCTCGTATCTGGCCGATCTCTATCCTTCTCTCCCCTCCCCCCCCCCTCGCCCCTGGCCGCCGGGTGCGAATTCCGGCCGGCGCGTTTCTCGGCCGTTAAGTGCCGGAAAACAGAATTACGAGGTCTGGGAATATTTTTCAAGTGCTCGCGCGACAATGCTCTCTCTCAACGACTCTATCTCCCTTGGCGATCGCGTTGAATTTACCGCGCGCACGCTAATTTCAACCTCCCCGTCGAATTCGTCGCCTATTTGACATTCTAATATCGGGCAATTGCAATAACAACGAGGACGGCGCGAGCGCCACGGTAACTTTGTGCGGGGATCGTTTTCTTTTTCATCGGGAATCGCTTTGGTCGGGGTTTCTTGCCCGGCGAGGAACATTCCGCCGCCGAGCGTTTGTATTTCTTCGGCGGGGAAAGATAAATTGTCTTACGCATCGCTTTGCTCGATTTAAATTCAGCACGATGCATCCCGCTCATGAGGAGCTCCCTTTTTCCGCTTCAACTTTAGCTTCCTTCCCCGCAGTTCTTAACTATGGCCGCTCGGATAAAAACGCGAGACACGGGGACGGCTATAAAATGGAATTTGATACGGAGCCGCGGCGGGGGCCCCCCCGGCTTCACCCTCCGCGCCTTTGTTCTCGCGGAATAGCCCCTCGCAATTACACTCGCGCAAAATACGCTGACTATTATTCCGTGATAAAGCAAACGTGTTTTCTCGAGTATCATCCCGCGAACATTATTTCGCAACGCGGCCGTCCTTTCCCACCGCTAAATATCATTTGTTTCGTTTGCGAGAGCATTCGCAAAAATCTGCGTGTTTCACGCGGGGGAGGGAAAGGAGGGGGGGGGGGAGGGGGGGAAACGTTTCACAACGAAACCCCGGCGATTTCTCAGTGGGGAAAACCCCGATAATTTCTCTTGTTACAACACGCGCGTGTACACACGCGTGCGCGCCCGCCGCGTTACTCGTGCAAATTTTTCGAGCGGCCGTAAAACATGTAATCGCCGAAAATGATAAAATAATATCCGCCGCCGTACTCGTTACGCGGCGCATTCGCGCGCATCGAGTTTCTAATGATTTCGCCCCGCGTTTGAGAATTCCGCGTGACGCCCGTCGATAATTGTAGCAATTATAATTAGAA